CACTTTATGATGTTGTATATGATGTCATTGTAATCCATGACCTTTAAAACATATGAACAGACTTCACCTTTTCTGTGTTGTGATGGGGACATAGTTTGGTTTTAGCAGAAAGTAAAACATTTTTGCAATGGCTCTATGTTTGAAAAAGAAGCACAACTGTAGCAAGTTTAATGCTTTTATGAAAAAGCTGGCTTCATGTTTACGTACCATCAGAGACAGCAGAACAACTTAACACTATACAAACACACAGACATATAATAACTTATATAAGGTTTACTAAAAGATCAAGAGTGCTTTACAGTATCATGAAATGGCAAAAACAAGGCAGCAATAAAATATACACATGAATTTGTCATGTAAAATTACTTTCAAGTCATCCTGTCAAATCAGCTTTTTAAGATTCACTTTGCAACTGATAAAGTGAACTCAAATGGCCATGTTTCCCAACTCAGTACAGCCCCAGGGAATAGACAGCAGACAAGAAGAACTTTTCTGAGAGCTGTACATCCACAGATTTGAAGGGAGCAGACAAAGAATAGCTTTATAAATGATTGAGTCTATGAAGACACATCCAAGTCAAGCTCTCAACACGCAATCGTGAGTAAGACATTTGGGATTTGTGCTAAACCTCAGTACTGAACTTTTGGCTGTAGGGCTGCCAATAGTGTGTTTTTTCCTTGTCTGTAAAACTGTTGATTTTCTCGATGAACCTGTTAAATATTTGTACAATAACATGTAAAAAAAAAAGGGTGAAAAATGCCAATCAATGTTTTCCAAAACCCAAGATGATATCCTTAAAAGTCTTGTTGTGGCCACAAAATGGAATCACAAAATTTAGACTTTTTCTTTTTTTTCAGTTAATTTTTTTCTTTTTTTTTTTTTACAGTTTTAATCTACTGTATCCATTAACAATTCCCAAATTTTAAAAACTTGATTATTGATGCATCACCTCACACAGCTTTGACAAAATAAACGCAAACTTTACATTCACTGTGGTTGGGTTATACACCTGAAGTCTGACCAATCTGACATTTATTATCAGAGAAGCTGTTGGCTGTCTCAGTTTAACGAAGCACACCACGGTATGCTTTGCAAACCAGAAAAAAAAAGCATTTTCTAAGTTCTTAAAGGGTTTGCAGTGACACCAGCAATTAGTTATCTCTGTTTTCTTGTTTATTTGCACAATGTAAAATATGACCTTCAAACACAGTTGTTTGTTATTAAAAGAATCTACGAGTCAGCATCCCACTAGTTCACTATTTCGGCCGCTGAGGAGATGTCAGTTCATGTTCCCCAAATCTGTATGTCTGATCACCATCCTACAAGCCGAATTAAATTCACAAAAATCAAGGTTAGAATTTATTGTCTCTTGTCTCAGTGGCTCCTGACTTTCTTTGGCCTGACTCATCATGGTTTGCCTAAGGGATTAGTGCAACCTTGGAGGGAAATTTTCTTGCTGTAGCCTGTTGAAACCATTTTTATCGTCCTGAATGTGTACAATGGGCCATAAGAAAAGACCAGCACCAGCCTTAAGATGCCGTTTTAAAGAAACGCTAGACGCAGTGTTTTATAAAACTTTTTTTATGCTTTACTCTCATTTTTGTTCTCTCACAATCCTCTCATGACCCCTGAGATTTATTTTGTAAACCACAGCAACATCACCTGATTATCTTTGCCTAGTATGTGTCTGAAGCAGTAAGCTGTTTGAAAAACTAAATAACAAACGTCTTTCCTGATTTTTTTATTCTCCCATACAGATTATTGAAAATGGCTGCTGTGCACAACAATTTGCACAGCCAGATTTTTAGCTAATAATTATGCAAAACAAAAATAAATTCCTCGGCTGTGTTTTTAAAATGCTGAAAGTTAGACGCAGCACATAAATCACTATGTATTCTCACATAGGTGCAGATTTCCAACATGGGGGCTATTCCCCCTCAATATTTGATCTACCAGAGAGTAAGTATTTGACAGCAATACAAAAGGATCACTGGCACAATTTTTTGACTCACATTCCCTTGCAATAGTTTTGTACTTTGTCACAATAACTTTTGCTTTCCGTTTCAATATGTGCTGCAGTCCCTCTGATCCATATGAGCAGCGCATGTAACTCTGCAGACACTACAGAAAGCTGTTAGGATGTTTCACTGATGCATTTATTGCACTTCATTCATTTTTAAAGGCCAAACTCTGACGGCATCCAGCTGCTGGTTGTGAGCACAGCTGCAGCTGCTTGGTGATGGTGAAGCTGTGGCTGTATTTATGGTCATTGTTTTGGCTTCAGTCACAATTGTGACTACGGCTGCAGCCTCGGTGACAGCTGTCCTCCCGAGGCTGCAGTCATACAGTGTGTCTCAGTAGTGGTCATTGAGAGAGCTGCAGCTCCTTGCAGTGGTGCAGGCTTGTATCTTAGCAGCTGATGGTGCACCGACTCCCTCTATAGTCACAACCAGCAGCAGTCTGTGGGCTGCATGGAACCGGATCATTAAACATCTCGTACAGTTGTGACGACAGAGTCGGTGCAGCTTCAGCTCTGGCCAATGTGTTGATCATGCCAATGACAGCATGCAGCAATAGTGTGTATGTGTCTGTGTGTGTGCATGTCTGTGTAGTGATGGCTTTGCTGGCTGAGAGCTGTATCAAAGCTGCTTTATTCGTTGAACGCCTAAATAAACTAATCAGCACATCTGTCATAGAAGAAAGTTTAAATAGCAACATCTGGACACATCCACAGCACCACTGATTGAACCGAGCAGTTACCCGATTTATCCATAGCCTCACCATCACAACCGGCAGCCGGATGCTGTCGAGGATCTGCCTTTTAAAATAAATAGACAGCAATCACTTAAAGTGTTGCATCGTGTCTGTTTTCACTGAGTGTTTCCCTTAAACCAGCAGTTTGTTGTAAGTGGACTGGACCAACACAGTAACTGTTAGCATGGATCAGAAGGACTGTAAAGTAATGTCGTGGGAGATAATGTTCAACTATTGCGAGGGATCGCAAAAGTATTGCGAGCTAACACAAAATTAGTCCTCACAAGATTTTCAGTGTGACAGTAAAAGGGCTCCATCACTTACTGCAGTATGCTCCTTTATATTTTAAATTGCCACCTAGTGCTGTTTTTTTCTTTTTTTTTTCTTTACATGAACGAAGACATTTTCACCATAAACTGATGCAAAAAGCAGAGGCGGCTCCAAGGAGGGACCAGAGGGGCCCACAGCCGCCCCTGAAATCCCACTGGCATCCCTGTGACCTGCAGATCTGATGGGTCAAGTTCATTCACTGAAACTCCCACGGCCGCATTTCAGTGAATGTAACTACAGCGTCTGAGTGTGAGTGGAAGCAGCACTGATGACCATAAAGGCTGGTCCCTAAACACCACACAGAGTTCCAATATGGTGCATACATTATCCATGATTTAAAAGAAATACAGTTTGTGTATAAAGGATTGAGAAATTGCACATTAGTGAAATCACAAAAATTTAGTAATTTACACATTGGCTGTTAACGAGAAACAGGCCCCAAAACTGTAAATAATGTCCACATGAAGAGTCTGTGTCTTTACAAATAGTAATTAGTTGTTTGTTTACAATGTGTTACCATAGTTTACACTATTTTACTGTATTTAAATCAGCTAGTAATGCCATTATTTTACAGATATTTGCTGCTATGTTAAAGAAACATTTGATAAATTACAAAATAAAATGTGTTTTTTTTTTCAGTTTTAACTAATATTAACTAATATTTTGAGCAATTTACTGTTATTTGACAGTTTTTTGTTGTTTAATGACATTGCCGATAATTACTGGTATAAATCACAGAAAAAATATTAATTTATTAACCAAAACTGTTAATTATGTTCACTTCAAAAATCTGTATTTTTCCAACTAGGAATTTGTTCTTTGTCATTAAATAGCAATTGGTTTCACTGTATTTAATCAGCTAAATATGTCATTATGTTACAGATGTTTAACATTGTTTTCAAAGTTTTTACAGTTTTTTAATGTTGTACTATTCAGTCGTTTTTTTAGGGTATTTTTTCTGGAAATCTTGCTGCCATTTTTCTCAGCAATTCACTATTATTTAACAGATTCTTCTGGCTTTGTTAAAACCAAACACACAAAAAAAGTAATATTTTCCTGGGTAACTCAAAATAACCTTAAAAAAAAAAACAGGCCAAAACTATACAGTATGTTCACACCACAAATCTGTATTTTTACAAATAGCAATTTGTTTTTTACAGCGTTTGACTGTAACGTGTGGCCATAAAAATGCATTTCTACGGTAAACCAGCATTATTAAGATAAAATAAATAAGTAATGATTAATTTTCAGATATTTGACGTTATTTAAAAGAAAAAGTCTGTATATAAAGAACTGAAAAATAGCAAATTACTAAAAAAAAAAAAAGAAAGTCATAGTTTACACATTGATTGTAAAACAAAAACAGGTCCACATCAAAAATCTGTATTTTTACAAATAGCAGTTTTTTCTCTTACAATGCGTGGCTTTAAAATTACACAATATTAAAAAAAATATAGATTTTTTAAATATTTAAATCAGCAGAAAGAAAAAATATTTTACAATTTTTCCCTGTTTTAGCAAAATAAAAAATGATTTAAAAAAAGATTTTACATGGTAGCCCTACAAAACCTTTAAACAGCCCTAAACTGCACATAAAGTCCACATTAAAGGATTATTAGTGAACTTGTATGATGCTTGACCATAAAATGAGTTTTGTTATACAAACTGCAGAAAAATAGCACAATTTTAAAGATATTTGGCGACTATTTTCAAAGTTTTTGCAGTTTTTGAATGTTATGGTATTCAGTTGTTGTATCGCGGATTTTGTAACATTATTATAAATATTTTTTAAAACAAATATTTAATTTAGAGTCCGTCTATCTTTTAGGAGCAACACAACAGGGATCACGTCTTCCATCAGCAGTGGCTCATCTGCTCAATAGACGATCTCTGGACGGAAAGTGGAAAGTTCTACGTTGTGCGCAGGCGCTCCCCGGGATTAATGTCAAGGCACAAAAGTGGCGCTACACCGTTTCCAGCTCTACTCCGGTAAGCGAATTTCACAGACGGTTTTTATCTTCCACTTTTACGCCTAATTGGTCAAAGTTTGGGGAACTTGTGCGAGGCTCCGGCCGGACGTCCAGGGAGTCTCCCTGGAGCCTCGCCGGGCCGAGGAGACACACTGAGGGCTCAATAAACAGTTAATTTTAACAGATTTTCTGGCCGCTCTGTGCGCTGCTGCCGCTGCCGCCTCTAGTCTCCAGTATTGTTCAGTTGGCTCCCTAATGGCGGACAGCAGGCAGTGCTGTTTTCCGCTGGGGGAGGAGGGAGGTGTGTGTGTGTGTGTGTGTGTGTGTGTGTGTGGGGAGGGGGGGGCAAATTTCATCTGGTCGTGATGATACCGGGGCTTATACGTGGCCTCAGTTCACGGTAACTCACGTAAACACGATGCGGGGATTTCTTTGCGGCTCGTTGTTTACCACCGCATGACACAAATGAAGACAGTTCATGTAATACGTGCTGGGAGGGCGCCCCTAGCGGCGGCCGGCTATATTTGCCACTGATTGCGCCAGGGTGGACTCCGTGCAGGGTAACTTTCCAATTAAAACCCCAGCGTCACAGGTATCATAAAAATCGGGCTTTTTTAATTCGGATTCCGGGTCTGCTTTGGCGCCACGATTAAAAAGAAGAACCGGAACTAGAAGCGGGGTTGTGTTGTTAAATAACCAAAGGGGTTGTGTGTTTGTGAGTGCAACATTTGCTCCTGTTTCAACCCATCTCATACGAATAAGTTGTGCTCATTTTTTATTTTTTTTTTGGTGGTGTTTTAACAATGGCGCAGTCTGTGTCTGCTCTCCTCCCCTCCATCCGCCGCTAATCCAATGGCTGTTTGCGCCAGGAAGGGCAGGGGTGGGAACGGAACGGAACACCCTGAACCACGTTTCTCCTGGACCCCAACTTGGAAGCCCAACCTTGCCGCTCCTCCTTTAACCCAGGTTATTTATGGGAGAGTTGCGCAGCCCAGGTAGTGCCGGTTCTGTTTGTTGTCCTTGATCAAAGTTTTGGACCTGCTCTCCATTTTTCCAAGTTTGTAAAAAAAAAAAAAAAAGAGAGACAGAAGAGGAGCTCGGATAGTCACCGCGCTAACCGGGTGCATGGACCGGATTTGGCGCTGTGGTGATCTGTCCAAACCGTGCTACTAATCAAGGGCACGGCCAGGAGGGCTCCAGCGGCCCCTGGCTCTCCTTGTATGGTTAATTTCTAATGTTTCCCAGCAGAGCTCCTCAGCTGTGCAGAGCAGGGTTGTAGTTGTGCATCCAGCTGCCAGGTAACCGGAATGGACTGTTTTTTGCAGCCCAGTTGGCTTGGGGGATGTTCTGGTGGCTGCGCATTACGCATCACTTCTCAGTGACATAAGACTTATATAATAATCTCAGGCGTTTAATTTGAATATGTTATTAGTCGCATGCTATCTGCGGTACTGGCGCAAACAGCTGCATGTCTCCACCTTGTGACCCGCTGGAAAAAAGAAAAAAAAAATGTCAACTTGGCTTCATGCGCCAGCAGGCAGCGTTGGAGAGGTAGATGAGCACCTATGCATGAGGTGGTGATGTGGCTGAGGGTCTGGTGTGGCGCAGCCGCTGATTTGAAGCGCCTCGTCTGCGTTGGGTGTTTTGTTGCACGGAGGCAGCCTCAGCACGGCGCCGGCCCACCTTTCCGTCCACCTGGTGTTGACGTTAGGAGCAAGGTTGCATGTCGGAGCTCATTAATGCTGGATCCTCGTTTTGCTCTCATCCACGTGAATGCAGGCTGTCTCATAGCTCTGCATTGCAGTCTGAACTGAGTCTAGACCAGGCTATTTTTTCCCTTCAGAGCACCACTGAGTCTCTTTGCACATAGATTCCTCTGTTTGTGTAATATCAGGCCACAAAGCTGCGATGCTTTTTATTTTTTAGTGCGGCTCAGCCAGGCTTTAGTGAGGTGTTGCACGTGGAGAGGGGTGCCTTTTGGGTCTTCTTCCTAAATTTTGACACCACTTAACACCAAACAGATGTGTTTTTACCGTAACACATGTGGTCTCCTGGGTGAAAGCTCCTAAAATACAAGCTTAAGTTAGATTTTGCTGCAGATTTACAGAATTGTTTGGAATCCCATCCTGTTTTTGAACAGTCAAGAACAGTATTGATCTTGAATGTCATTCTGTTTTGCCTTGTGCTTCCTGTCACATGGTCACAGTGAGCAATTCTTCCTCATTCAGCTTCAGTGTTTTATAGTCCAGCAGATCTTTATAACCAACAAACATGCTGTATACAGCTCTGGTACTCTGTCCTTCCTGTGTTTGCATGAGCCAAGTTTAACAACAGCGTTTTCCCTGAATAAAAATACAGTTATTGCATGAGCTGTTACAGAAGCTGTTGACATTTTGTACCAGTTCAGCTCCTATACTTATGACCCAAATGTACACATATGATAGAAACGGAGCAAAAATACACTGCATGTTAGCAGAATATGTAGTTTACCCTCATAATTGCACTGAGAACATCAAACACTTAAATATAGTACTGCAATGATTAGCTGGTAAATTAATTGTCAACTATTTTGATAAACATATAATCATATTGGTCATTTTTAAGGCGTCACAAATGTCTTAATGTGATGCTTTTCCTTCTCCTAAACATTTTTCTGTTGTGGTTGGACAAAGCAGGACTTTTGAAGGCATCATAGCAAACTACGAGAAATTGTAACAGACATGTTTGACTATTTTCTTACATCTTACAAACAAAGCGAATAATTATTAATAAAAGTAATTGTTTGTTGCTTGACAGCTGGGACTAAAATGTAAAGCGATAGACTTGCAGTCAGACAACTGTAAATTTTGCTAAAATAATTTAAAAATAAATGACCTATTTCTGCTGTTGGTTGTTAATGCTGTGGCTATTAGTGAACCATATTTCAGATAGCCCATATGTTTTAACTTGCTTTTTTAGAGGGGTGGTTTTTAAGTACGCATATGTTTGGAAATTCTTAATTGCACTCTTTCATGGATTTTGAACGTATGGTTGTTGTCTAAGTGTCTTTTTGTTGTTTGCATTGGAGTGTAACCTGTAATTGAAACATCTAATCGCACAACACAGTAGCCCTGCTGTAAATGCCACTGTTTAATGTTTAATGTTTACATTTTTGTTGAGCCAGTTAGAGATGGTGATTAAAGTTAACCAGCGTCTTTGAGAGCGCAGTTTGAGCAAATATCTCATTAAATGTCTTCCAGTCAGTGTCACCACCGCAATTGCACATCTGTTGGCAGGAATTTTTCAGTAGGGCTCCGTATTCCACATGAATCTATCTTAGTTATTGACCCAAATGTGTCCGTAGCGCTGAGTGGCTGTGATATACCAAAAACTGGCATTTAGTCTGTCGTGATTTGTAGTGCTGTTTTTTTAAATCCCAAATTTTGCCCATTTTAAACTGGAGTTGCCGCAATTGATTGAGCTGTCAGCTATTACAGTTGTTGTCAACTATTTTGATCATCAATTATTATCATTTTAAATTTTTCTAAAAAGGCCTATACGCTCTAGATTTGAGCTTCTTGAATGTTAGTACTTTCTGTTTTTTTTTCTGGCTTTGTGACAATAGACTGAATATCGTTGGGTTGTGGACAAACGAAGACATGTGATGATGTCACGATTGGCTTTGGGAAACACTGACTGACATTTTACACTGCTTTCTGACATTTTATGGACCAAAAAATTGATCAATCAATACTGAAAATAGTCGGCAGCAGCCCTATTTTAGACAGTTTTCTTGTACTATTGTTGTACATCTGCTTTGAGATTGTTGGCTGAGTTTGTTAAATGAAGAACGTCTTTGTTATTATCTCTTAAATACAGTCTTAGATTTTGGGTTGTGTTGTGGTGGCAGGGCAATTAAAAAACATTCCAAATCCAAATAGGGTTTATAATTATTGGATTTAAGGTATTTGTGAATTTGTCTACTACCTTCAATGTAAGTGTCAAGTAAATTCAGCGCAAACTGCCACCACTGGTACGAGATCAACCTTCCATTTTTGACAAACAAACAGACATCACAGGATGCCTTCTATTAATACTTAAAGCAAGCGTGTAAAGAAAAGTCGTGAAAAGTTTTGGAACTGCACATTCTCGTAAATGTTAGTGCAAATAAATAGTGCAGATCTTCTTTATACACAGCTGTAGAAAGCTGTGAGGTTTTACATGGCGAGATAGTTGCTGCGAGGAATCATCACCGCTTATAGAAAGATGTGTCCCAGTTTGTAGCCATGTGATGTTTCATAGGGAGGTCAGGGTCACTGCTGGACAGCACAGCACCTCTGAGACTGTCACACGTTGGGCTGAAATCATGAAAGTCTTGGTAGAGGATGGCGTTTCTAACCAACATGCCACCCATTTGAAATTAGCTATGAATCTGAGATATTGAAATCTAAGAAACCTACTTGTTTGTGAAGCTAGCATGTGGAGGAAGTGAAAGACATTAAACGTTAATACTCGACTTGTATCTTCAAAGATGCCACTGTAGCGCTGTGATTTTTATTGGATGCACCCCACAGTGCTGGGGCCAAAATGGCCTCCACAGTGATGTCAAAGCACTGACCTGGCTTCCTCTGAACTGTATACTGCGCTCTGTTACAGCGCTAAAGGCTGTGTTCAGGTGCGCTTACGCTCTTCCTGTTCTGGTTGTAGTGAATAACAAAGCTACAAAGATCATTGTCTGCACAGAAGTGTGGCTGTGAGCCTCCATCTGTTGGTGTGTTTTGTGTGTGTGTGTGTGTGTGCGTGTGTGTGTGTTTGTGTGCTGCAGCTGTCAGCAGTGATGTGATATGTGGCGTACAGCCACCCTCACTGCTGTGTAACATGAAAAGGAGGGTTTGACAGAAACAGATCAATATAGAGAGTGCAGACATCCTAAAAGTGCTTTGAATAGCATTTGATCCTTTATGTGGCACCAAATCAGACTGCAGCATTTAAAGCAAAAAAAAAAAAAAAATCTTCTCTTCTGGATTTGCAAAGATAGTTAGAAAGCCCACATTTAGTAACTGGGACATGCATTTTCACATAAAGCACTACATACTGTAAATGACTGCAGAGCCAGTTATTAATCCTGCATCACACAGGTTGATATATCTAAATCATTCAAACACTGTGTTGGCCAACTCAACAGCACCCAGATGTAGAGCACCGAGAACAAGTCCCTTTGGTGGTGGGCCTTACCGTCACCGTGGCAACCAAGGTGTAGCTTCACTGGTTGCCAAGGGCAACAAGAGAGTCGCTGTGTGGAGTGATATGCAGGGGCAGGGAGCAGGGAGGGCGGGAGGGATGTGAAAGGCAGCAGGTAAAAGGAGGAGTAGGGCGGCGGGTGGTTGGTTTGGAGGTGCAGAGAATGAGATTCAAGAAAGAGGAGGATGAGTGGAAGAGACGTGACAGCGAGGAAGAGGAGGAGGAGCAAAGTTGCCCTCGTTGCTGGGCAGGCACGTAGCGTTTCTTAGGAGTCTACGTTCAGTCATGGAGACGTCACCTCTACCGTTGCATGTGTTGAGCGTTGCGGTAAATGCGACCGGAAAGGTTCGACTCTGGGGCACAAAGCCTCTGCCATCCTTCATAATTCAGTTCAGGTTCCACCACTGATTTAATTGTAAGAATACCGAGAGCACTGAAGAAAAGTCACCGGTGTTAACAGGTTTTATGTCTGTGCTGCTGTTATTTGTCCTCATTAACTTGATAAATGATGTTTAGAACCTCAGTGTTAACGACAGATAAAATTAAGGAGGCCTGACGTGAACTTCATGACCTGCTGTTGCTGGAATGACTCACATCTGACCAGTTGTCACACAGGTAGACACAAATTATTGTGTAGGGCTGCAACTAAGTCCGCTTTTCATTAAGCTGTTTATTTTTATTTTCCCATCAATTGCTTGAAATTGAAAATGTCAGAAAATAGGTCTGGACAATAGAGCTGAGAAATTTGTTGCGATAAATTGTTTAATTTCAGACGATACTGATTATTATTTTTGTCATTGTCATTTAACTTTTTTATAGAGAGCAGCAAAAAAGAGATTTATTTTGAATTTATGCACCTTAGTTTGGGTTAGCTACTTTACCTTATTTATCAATGTACACAGGTTAATAATATAAAAGATATATAGAGTATTCGGAGATCAAAATTGCTATCTCGATAGCAGCACAGCGACCGGATATTCGGCTATTCGGGTCCAATCCTAATAGACATATGAGACGGTACAACCAGCTGAAACATGATTCAGAAGTAATTATTTATCATTGAAATGTCTCCTGATTAATTTTCTGTTGATTGACTGTTGTTGAGGGTTCATCTTGTGTTTTTGTAGCGCCAATCTATTCTTCTGTCTTTGCAGCATGTGTGCTCATTTTAAATTTGAATCGACAACAATGTCCTAAATTAGGAAACACAACAGAAGTGGGCACGTCACTGCCCCAACTTCACCAAGCTCTGACCCTAAGCAGAGCATCTAGTGAAGTCAGAGGTTATAACTGAATTTTTGAAGGGAAATATTCATATCTGGAACAAGCTTCTTTGGAAATTAGATGGATGTTGTAGAGGGTCATTGCAAAAAAAAAAAAAACACCTGTGTTGTGGTTAATATGGTTAACAAAAACAAGGCAGTGATGACATATACATAGAAGAGGTGGTAGCTCTAACAATGGCAGTGAGTCTGTGTGGGGGCGGCTGCCTCTGGAGATACCTGAGCCACCTGTACAGCTGTCAGACATCGTAAAGCTAATCACTGGTGCTGCCTTCACCTAATTGTGTTCAAACTGCCTTTTGTTTATGTTGGCAGGTGGTTGCCTTAGTGATGGATGGGGAGTCGGAACCAAACCCTGTCGTGGCAGAAGAGGCAGGGGAGCGGGTGGAGCCCATGGATGCCACTCCCTCCCCCGAGCATCCGACCACGCCCCCCTCCGAGGAGTCTGGGGAGGCAGTTTCCATGGCAACAGAAGATGTAACCACAAAAGAGGATGGCACAGAGGACAATGATGACGATGTGGTTCTTGTAGGGGAGGAAGCTCCCCAGCCTTCTGCCACAACCTTCTCCCAGGACACGCCCAGCACAGACTGCCTAGAGCCGGCTGCTGCCGTGGCAACTGTAGACATGTCCACGGCAGTGATGCCTTCCAAGACACCCAGTTCTCCTGCGTCTTCCAACGCATCTACGGTGGTGGCACCACCGAAACCTCCAACCACGGTGGTGGAGCCTATTGTCATTGATGATGAGGAGGACTCTGAGCAGAAAGACACTTCTTCCTCCTCACCAGTGCCCCCTGGAGGCTCATCTGCATCACACTCACCAGGTGCACTCAGCAGCACTGAGCCAGATTCAGAGATAAGGATCGCCAGTGTCACCACACTGGGCTCTAGTAGCCAGAAAGGAAGCTCTGCCATTTCTGAAGCTAATTCTCCACCACATCCAGTGGACATTCAGACAGACATGAACCTGATGATAACCTCAGTGACGTCACTGCAGGGCGGAGCAGCGGACGTCACAGTGGTAAGAATCCCCAAAAGTTATCATATTTTGCGACTAATTTTTTTTATAGTGTTTAAGTTTTTTATTTGAAGATATGATTATTAACCCTCTGTCTAAAAGATGTTATTTTCAAAAAACCAAACCCAAATTACACCCTGTATCTGAGCTAGAAGCTGTAAGCACAGAGAAAATTTTGAACTTTTCAAACTCACCATGCATGACTTTTAGTTTTCACTGATGCATACAAATCTCAACGATCAAAAATCGTGTAAACTTCTGCTTTCTTTCATAATGATTGATGGCATTATAACTTTGTTATACTGCATGAAAGACATTTTTGGGTTGTTTTTTTCTTATATCCATGGCTGTGCTGTTTCCATAGAGGTGCAGGGCTTCATATTGCAGTGAAAAGTAAGCTCACAGTGTGTAGCAATGTGGCAAGAGCTAAAAACAAAAAAAGTTAAACAGAATCTGCTTGGGGTTCATTATTAATATATTATATTATTATGATTTTTTTTGCCTTCTACCTAATTTCAGGGAGAGCTCATTCTTTTGATGTTTTCTACTAGTAAACATTGGTGAAGCAGGTGTTCTCTCTGGCATAGCAGGTTTAATCTTGGCAAAGTGGATCATGATATCTTTGTAATGAAGCTGTCGAGAGCTGATATGTTATGCCAATATTTATTTAACAAAGATGCACTGGCAGCTACTTTACTTAGATGAGGTTGGATTCAGTGCAGGCTTTAGACACTGTGAGGCAAATGACATCCGTGTGTCTTTGGTTCCTAATCAGCTTGTTTTCTGATGTTTTTTTTGGTTGATGTTTTGTCACTAAGGACAAACTCTAACCTAAACAACTTGTGTGTCCAGGCAGGTGAAGACCAGGCAGAGGAAAATGGTTTGCAGATCAGCAATGCATTCAGCCTGAATCCCGACACCCCATCTGGTCGACCAACCGCCTCCTTCAACCCTGGGCGGGGCTCCGGCCCCCTGGGCCAGCTGGTACAGAATGGAGACACAGGGACACACAACAGAGCAGGTAGCACATTTAGTATCTAGAAGAAATGTATTTCTGTAATTCGTCTTACAGGTAAAATGTTAAAATTGACAAAAATGAAGCTCTACCTTTGGTTTTGGTCACTGCAAGGTGTGCAAACTAGCAGAATTTGCTTGTTATACTGTCACCTGAAACGAGTGAACAATGTACTGAAAGTGACAGCAGGCCACACATATAATACACAGTGCTGTAGAGGTGTTGTCACTGTCAATTCATAACACGAAGGTTCTGGGTTCAAACCTGCTGATTCTCCCTGCGCTTGGGTTTTCTCCAGGTGTTCTGGCTTCCCTCCACAGTTAAAAGACACAACCCAGTTCTCATTTCTTAGTTTGTACATCCTTTATCCCTCTCCTCGACTCCTCTCCTCACAGCTTAGTTTCTCCCACAGAGATGCGAATGAGGCAAGGAAGAGACACGAGGAGAGCGGAGTCAAGGCAACAAGCATTTAACAAAATGAGACATCCTCGCCTTGAAGCCGTCATTTTAAAGCGACATCAATTAAATATGATGTGTGACACAGCTGCATCATCTGTCCTCTGTTTTGCTGCAGCCTACCGCTGCAGCTCATGATCTCTGTCAGATGAACAGAACAGTGTTTATGACAACTTACTGTATATAGTTACTTATAACTCATATCACAACGTACCATAATGCGATGTCACACATTTTTATATCCATCCATCATCTATACACCGCTTAATCCTCACTAGGGTCGCAGGGGGGCTGGAG